AGGTCCTTGAAACAATGGGATCGTTTAGGGGAGGGAATGCTCTTCCTGGGGCCTTCTTTTCTGGCTGGGGTGCTTGAATCTAGTTTGCCCTGAAAAGCTGCAGTGTGGATGGGAAGACGGGCAGCGTGACCTTATTTCCAGTCGTTGAAGCGGAAAGTCTGGTTTTATCTCGAGGCCGTTTCTCCTGGATCTAACCTTTTTACTTGGATGCACAAGTGGGTTTGTTTTGGGAGACCGGGGCTCACCCTTCCCTCCCCAGGGCCGTGTGTGGGTGCAGGCCTTCGGGAGTCTTGCGCTCCCCGTAACTGCAGCCACTCGCGGTAAAATCCCGGAGCCCGAGTGCCCCACAGACGAGCTGACTCTAGGCCTGCTTGTCAGGAGAGCACAGCTTTGGGTGTTCCCTGCCAGTTTTTCTTGTCCTTGTACCTCTTCTGCGTCCTTACCGGTCTGTCCCTGGCTTTGGCTCACCCCCTTTCATCTCTCGCCTGCGGATAACGCGTTACCTGTGCCTGTCTGTCCCGCGCTATGCAGTTGGTTGTACGGCCGCTCCAGCAGCCTCCTGGCAGCACGTTGCACGCACTCGGTGTGATCTGGGGGGGGTGGGGGTGGGGGGGCCAAATATCTCAGCCTGACGGTTCAATTGTTGCCTCGGTAGATGGCTCTTCCCGATCATCGGCCACATGGGTATCTGCACCTCGACTGGAGTCATTCGGGACTTCGCGGGGCCGTACTTTGTCTCAGTAAGTAGACGATGGATCCGGGTGCTTAAGCAGAATCCGCGCTTGGTCTGCTTCTCACCTTCGCCGGTGACTTTTGAGCCATCCCCTCTCTCTTGCGGTTCAGAGCTTTGCAAAGTAATGGCTGAGATGTTTCCGAAGATCGTGGATCTTTGCTGTTACTCTGTGGGCTGCTGTCCAGTGGAGTTCGTTTTGGGGGCATGCGATAGATAGTGGCCGGTTTGGTTTGGTGAGCAGAAGGGAAAAAAAAAATCTTGTCGTCCAGGCTCTTGATTGGGAGTTTTGGACCTAAATCCTCTTAATTCTGAGTAACAGCAGCTGCCTTCCAGCTTCCTCAGTATGCCTGCTACTGTCACGCAGCTTAGCATCGGGTATGTGCCAGTCTTCTAAACCGCTTCGCAGTCTGGTGGATATTGAAAGTAAGGGAGTTTTAAGTTGGGATAATTAATACTCTTAATAGATTGGAACACTTACAACTTTGAGTTAACAAGATATTAACAGTTTAAAAAAAAAAGGGGGGGGGGGGGGGAAAAAAGGTGAACATATAGCTAGATGATGTCGCCGCGTATAGAGTATAAATATACTCATGCCCAGAACAGGAGTAGGAAAACAACTGAAATCTAAATCCAGACACACAGATGTGATTGGTGTCTTCAGACTGCTGAGGCAGCGTGACAGTTTTATCGCTAAGCGATCGCGGGCTGTGAGGCCTTCCAGCAAGAGGCGTGTCATGAATATTGCGCGGGGTTATCCTCTTGAGACGTTTTTCCTTTTCTTGTAGGAAGACAACATGGCATTTGGGAAGCCAGTGAAGTAAGTGCTCTTGTTAGTTTCTATTAAACTAACCAACTGACCTGCAGATGTCCTTTAATTCATGGAGACAGACGTGCTATAATATTGCTTTTCTTGTTGTTCAGATGCCCTAATTCAAGTGGATGGCTACTGTGTCTCTGCTTTTCAAGAAACCACGTTAAATTAAATCTTTTTAGAAGCGTGACAGCAATGTAATGGTATTAATAGTGAAAGCTGTATGGAGCCTTTATTAAAAAAAAAAAAAGAAAAAGAAAAAAAGAAAAGGCTAAAACATTTTAAGGTAATGTTAACAACAAGTGCTCCAAGTAAATACTGCCTGGGCTGTCCTAATGAACAGTCATCACTCACATCCTGTTAATGACTTTCTGGGGGGAGGAGGAGAGGTGCCTTGGTTTTGTGTATCCGTCAGATCGGGTTTACGTTTTGAATGGCCCGAAGGTTTCACTTCATGGGACGTGAAAGCAGTTCAGATTTTTGTCTGTGCCCCTGAGGTCTGCAGTTTCTCTCTCTGGGGTGCTGTCGGGCTGAGGGTGCTGAGCATTAGTTTCTGCTGCCGTCTGCAGCATACGCTGGAAGAGCTCGGCTCCGTGGACTCCGGAGGTTTCTCTAAGTCCTTTAAGCATCTTCCTGCTGGGAAGACGAAGGAGTGGTAAAGGTGCGGCAGTGATGTGAAGGGATCTGTTCTCGTCCTTCTAGGTACTGGAAACTGGATCCCAGCAAAGTATACTCCACTGGTCCCAACGCCTGGGACACGGCCGTACACGATGCCTCGGAGGAGTACAAGCACCGCATGGTACGGCTCCGACGCTGATGCCCTGTCTGCGCGTGGAGGAATATCTCCCCGGTGTTTGGGTGCTTGCTGCAGGAGTGGGACCTGTGGGTCTGCACCAGCGCAGAGCTGCAGAACCGGGGAGCCTCAAGGACAGGATTTCTGATCCCGTGCCCCTTTCTCTGTTCCAGCACAACCTTTGCTGTGATAACTGCCATTCTCACGTGGCTCTGGCCTTAAACTTGATGAGATACGATAACAGCACCTCCTGGAACATGGTGAAACTCTGCTTCTTCTCACTCCTGTATGGGAAGTATGTAAGGTGAGCTGAGGAGAAGTCTAGATTCAGCGGGCAAAGGGGCTCTGTTTCTTTCGTTCTTCCCAGCCCTCCAGAGCTTCAGACGGTCCCGTGGAGAAGGGAGAAACATCTCTCCCCCACAACATGTGGGTGTACGTTGCTGGTAGGTGGTACTGTCACTGCCTGCTGCCTCTTCTTAGGAAAAGAACCAAGAGTGCTCGGCTGGGTTGCACTAGATGCTGCTCCTGAAATACTGTATCTGGCAGCTAATTTAGGGTGCCTGGAATTTGGGAAATGCTAGCTAAAGCAAATCTCACTCTGTGTTGTCTTTTGGCTGGGTTAGGTCAGAACATAAGGTCACCGAATGGCTTGTCTCCAGGGATTGCTGGTTTCTCTTCCCTCTCTTGAATCTTGTTTACATAAAAACTAGTCAGATTTCCAACTGGCGTGGAGCTTCCAACTTGAGTGGAGAGGGAAACCCCGAGCTTTCCTTACTAGAAAGGGCATTTGATCTCCATTTCAGCACCTTGTGCCTGAAGAGGAGGTTCTGCGAGGACTGCCCTGCATAGAGCTTTTGAGTTGCTCCGCTTCTGTTGGGTCTTCCCTGTTCTGGAAAAGCCTCTCTACCAGCTTTTAGGCAAGTGTAGTCCCTGCTGTCGTGGTTAAATACACCAGCAGTCTGAATAACGAGGCCTGCGGTGACAGGGTTTCATTTTCTGTGGTCTCCTGTCACCGCTCCTGTCTGTGCAGATATGAAACGTGCTAGTCTTCGACCTGAATTTAAGCTGGAAGGAGAGTCCAGCCCTATTGTTCATGATACAGTTATTTGTGGACCTGATTTAGTCTCAATTTTTAACACAGCCTGAATCTCCAGGACGTGTTGTATGGCAGTGCCACCGTAAGATAAGATAGGATAAGAAGGTCAGAAGGGCACCTGTCTCCCTCTGATTTCTCCAGTTATTCTCACATCCTTCTCTCCCACTTGTCTTCCTCTGCTGATTTCTTACGTTTAAACCCTCCCCCTTTTTTCCATCTTGCAGCATAGGGGGATTTGTGAAGACCTGGCTGCCCTTTGTCCTCTTCTTGGGGGTGATCGTGACCGTCGTTCTGACGCTTCATTTGCGGTGATGGCAGCTGTGAACTCCCCATTCCATGAGCACACAAAGGAAGAAACTGTGACTGATCCAGCGAGACGGAGGCATGGGACTCTGGGAGGCGTTTTCTGGGGAAGGTGGCAACTCCACTCCATTGTAACAGCTCATCTTTGTTTCCTGGAACTGGCTTCTTTTCCTGTTTTTGTTCTGTCGATGGTGTCTCCCGATGTCAGGGGTCCTGAAGCCTCCTGCTCTCTCCCTGAATACGCTCCCTTTCTGCAATTTGGTAGGTAGAAACGCAATCAGGAGAGGGGAGGCGCGGGCACCTTTTGCTTTCAGTGCCAAGTAAAAAGCCGCAAGGCAAACCCTGCCTCCTGGTTCAGGAGCAGAAGCAGATGCACCTTGTAAGGTTCTCTCTGATCACCTGGTTTCTTCCTCTTGGCGGACTTCATCAGATGCTTCCTCAGATTTCCTGAGTCTCCAAGAAGTTGTTGTTGTTGTTGTTGTTTCCCTGTTGCACGACCCTCCTGTAGCACATGTTTCAAAGGGGAGGTGTGGGGTTCCTCCCGGGGATGTGGAGTGCCACAGCACTCGCTGACGGTCTCCCCGGTAGCGACAGAAAGGTGTTGAGGGTGGGACGCTGCTCTGAGGAGACGCGCAGGGGAACGCTCTGTGGCAGGGCAAATACATCTGGTCCTGCTGGTGAGCCCAGAAAGGCAGGAAAGTCGATCGACTGGCTTGGGTATGGCTCATGGCAGCCTGCACGCTTTCAATAGCCTGCTGCAGAGTTGGGAGTCTACTGCTAAGTCCCTTTTAGCTTGTGCCGAAGAAAATACAGCTTCCCTGCTTCTCCTCGTGCTCTGAATGTCTAAAATTGTCGTTACACTTCTCACGAGCCGCTTACTTTCCTTTGATCCCTAGTACTTTGTGTGTCGCAGCGTACCTGAGCCTGCAGAGGTGGCAGCAGCAGCAGCAGGGGACATGTTTCCCCCATGTTTCTGGGACGGAAGGCTTAGCGTAGGGTTTTGAAAGCATCCGTGAGAGCAGCGCCTGAGACCTGGGCTTAGTGGGGCCATCAGAGAGTAAAAGAAAAGGTGAAGGGACTGGAAAGCATCCATGTTCTGGTCGGGCTTTGCAGCAGCAAACTGGTTTCTTGCGGCTGGTTCCAGGCTGGTGAACAAGAAGGTCTGTTGACTTCCTTGGCCTGCTTTGAAGAGCACACCTGGAGTAAAAAGCAGCACCGACTTCGATGTGAGAAACGCTGGTCTGGCAGGATTGGGGGCTGATGGCCCTTTTGAGCCCTGGGTGGGGCAGGATGGGTAGCAGGGGGGTAGGTGTTGCTCTTGAGTGCCGGGCAGCAAGTGAATTTGGACACGGCCAAGAGCCTCCTCCAGGGTGAGGGGTCCGGGTCTGCGTTTGCTGAGGCTCTGGCCTGCAGATGCCGCTTTCTGTGGGGCTCTGAGCCGAGTGGCTTTTTAAAAAAAGTGTGGCTGAAGGGTTATGTGCGGTTGAGCGGATCCCCTTGACTGCAGAGGAAGGAGAACAGCTTTTCCACTCATGCCTTGAAAGGCCAGCTCTTTACTCCACTACCTGATGGATTGCAACCCCGAGGAGTGCTCGTGGCCAGCAAGAAGGCTCTTCTCCACTGCCTGCTGGCCCTGTGGCTTCCTCTGACTGGGAAGCCCATTCGCCGTCACCCTGCTGGCTCTCAGACCTGTCCCCCTGTGCCTTTCCATCCGCTTCCATCTCCCCGACTCCTCTAGCCACACGGGAGGGCTGGGGGCTCCTCCTGGGCTTCTCGATTTCTGCGTTTCCTCCTTCAGTCACTTTGAAATAGCCCCTTAAACCTCTCCCTTCTCCCTAGCATGCAGTTGTCTCTCTATCATCTGGTGCTGGCTTTTCTGGGGTGGGTGGAGGAGGTGTGCAGTCCTCGGCGCCCTTCCCCGTCTACCTGGAACTGAAGTAGTCGTCGGTGTCCGCTCTGTACGGTCATTTCAAGCCTGTGTGGAGAGTGGGCTGGAGGGTGCTGGGCCTGGGGCTCATTAGGACGCCAAGGCCTTGATCAAAGAGAACCTTACAATGAAAGGATGGTGTCTTACCGGGCTACCCTGCGTCGCTGCGGTCTCCACCCAGCGAGCCCGCTGGCTAACGTGCCCTAGGACAAGCCAGTTGAACAGGAGAGATGAGTCCTTTGCCTCTGTTTTTAATTGAAGTATGATTTCTCGGCGCGACCTGCCAAGGATGCGCTCGGAGTCCCTGGTCCCAGGGCTGAAGCCGACCTGTCTTACGCGGTAGCAATAACCTAGAGACTCTTAGGCCTGTCTCACACGTTGATTCAGTGTTTTATCGATAAGCTATACAAGCGTTGCCAAAGCTGAGACTTCGAGTTGTCGGGGGAGGCCGGGAGCGGGCCTGCTGGCCACAGTCCCCGCTCCTGGGACTTCTGAAAACATGTTGAGTGCCATTCCCCACCGTGAAAATCCTTGTCGTTTGCTCCTAACGCTTTTTACCAGATCTGGGTTTTGAATGGAGACTTCTCGAGTGAAGTAGTTGGTTGGAGTGCTGGCTGCCGGGGAAGGAAAGCGGCGCTTCGCCCAAGTCCTGGCTGAACAGCCGACCCCCTTCCACCAACAGAGACGGAGGAGGGCTCCGGCCATCCGAAGGAAACGGCTAACGGGAGAGCGAGGCCCAAAGCTGAGGTACCGCCGAGCCAGCCCGCACGTCCGTGCTGGGCCTGCCAAGCTGTCTGTACTCGCGAAACGAA